TCCAATTTCTTCAAGACCCCTCCTCCCCCCCAAAAAATACTGTGCTTGAAAAACTTCCATTGTGCCCCTCCCATTCTAAGTAAAGTTGCTGTCCACACCCAGGGAGAGGAATAGAGGGGGAGCAGGAGGAATTTGTAGGAGTGAGGAGAAATATCACAACGTTATTCAAGAACAAAGATCAAATTAGTACTGCTGTAAAAAAATCCCATTCTGCACAGTGATGTGCTAGCACCACATCTCCAAGCCTTCTAGCATTAGTGTGACAGGCAGCCTGGAGAATAGCCTGATAGTGCTGTGCAGAATCGCAGTCCCCATGACTTGAGGAACAGACATAAGACTTTTCCCTTTCCCCAGTCTTATATCAGATTTCACATATCTTGTTTTGCTGACTACATTAGAAGAGCTTTGTTTTCACAGTGAATTTTCTCCCTAGCCTGCTACACTCCTCCCATCCCACCCTAGACTTTTCGTTATACACAATCTGTTCTTATTCCTAAATTTCACAGTTTGAGTTAATGATATTTAATAGTTAGAGGTTGGGGGCACGGGAGATCTCTTGGGCTCTATTCCTGCCCCTGCCATTGAATCACTACCGCACACAGTTAGATAAGTCACTTATGTGGCTGAGTTTCTCCATCTGAAAAATAGGGATAATCCTTCCCTACCTTCCAAGGATATTATGAGGCTTACTTACTGTTTGTAAAGCACTTGGAATCTTCACATGAAAGGATCTGTATGAATGCAGAGTATCATTATTAAAATACAGAATTATAATTCTGCACGGTGCCCAAATGACATTACTGAAGCCCTCTGGGACAGGAACACTGCTTGGACTATAACATCACATTGTCATATATCTTGGATATTGCTGAATGAGGGTAAAAGTCTCTGCAGCACTAGAAAGCACAAATTGGCTATTCCTGCAGAAGAAGCAGACAGGTATGTACCCAGACAGAGAACTTGTAACCACGACGCTGCCTGAGGTCAAAACTTGAAGCCACAAAAACAAGAATAAACAGAAGTCTCATCCAGTTGTGAACAAACCCACTACATTCCGTCATCAGGCACAGTGTGAAAGTGAGATGTGGGAGAGAGAATTTATGATTTATGTGGGACTTTCCATTCATTTTGTGAATGTTTTAGAAAAGTCCCAGCTGCCACTCATTAAAGTCATGCAAATTCTATTAATCTGCCTGTCTAAAATCTATTTAATCTACATCTGGTCAAACTACCAGTTGGGATTAAATTATGTAATTAATTTAACTCTTTTTTTTCTGGTTACAAATTGTTTATAAATCCATCCTGATTTCTGGAAATGTACTTGATATTCACAAGTAATCACTGAACAGTTTATGCAAGCAAATTTCAGCCTATGGGGTGTTCTCAAACTGCTCACTTCATGTGTTTGTTCTTTCTTATTTATACTGTGTGATCCATCACTTAGATTGCAAGGTATCATTTCTGCCCCATGCATTGGATGACTGGAACTTTTTAAGAAGAACAGCGATCTAAAAAACTGACAGAAGTGAACAGAGGACACTAATCTTCAAATATCACTGTTCACATAGGAATATGAACAACATTCATTCTGTGAGCATCCCTTTGAACCCAAACCCATTCACACAGATATATATGGATAGTAAATAATAAGGTGGCAACTATGATCTCACTGAATGGCCAATCAGAATTGGAGCATATATTCACTGATATTATCTTGTGGTATTTAACTAACTCTAATCTAATTCATTTCACCAATCTCTTAATTTCTAATGGACTCATCACCATGGTATCAAACACCAACGCTGAGGCAGGATGGGCTGCCTGGTGATGGGTTTTGTTTTGTTTATGTCGATATCCCAAATGCTGTTTCAGCTCCCAGTTATCTCAGCTTGGAATTTGCCATAACAGATCAGAAAACTGGTCCACCTAGTTTGACTTCCTGTCAACAGCCAATACCAAATACTTTATAGAGAAAAATGAAGCTGCCATTGCTGGCAAAATCTGAAAGCCATAAATAGAGATGTTTGGGGTGAAAAATACAGATACACCTTTGAATTCGGGTTATAGTTTTATCTGTTTACTCAGGTTTTTGCTGGATGGGAGGGGTTTAATTCTAGCTTGATAGAGAGCATTTTTCATGTTGACAATGTCCTATTTTTAGGATCTGTGTGCAGTTTGATATTTTGTAAGTGTGCCTAGAAGTGGGAGTTGAAAAATAAACTCTATAGAAGTGCTCTGGACTTGGAGAGTTTTGGGGTGGGAGAGAGTGGGAAATGCTAGCTACTTTGCTGTTAGGAAAGCAGCTGTGGCTCCTACACTGGGACAGTTGGCAGGTATCCTTTTCAATGTACCTGAGCAATTATATAGTGTTGTTTGGAGGCAGAAGGGCTAATCTTCCTGATGCCCGTACACCATTAGCTGAAATAGGAGATTTGAAAGTGCCTCATGTAGCTTGCATAACTCCAAATGTTGTTATTGGTCATAAAATTATCCTATCCCCTATTTAGTGCCAGCTACAATATTTAACTCTCTGACCTGCTCCAGGACACAGTGAATTCCACAGGCTGACTACATGCTGAGAGAAGAAGTATTTATTTTTATTCTGTTAACTTCATCTAGTGAGCTCTTGTTCTCGTGTTATGGGACAGGCTAAAAAAAGAGGAGACTAATCAGTTCTCACTAGAGCCTTCATAATCTTAAATACCTCCTCCATTGCAGGCTAAAGGATCGTAAGTTTTGAATTCTTTTCTCAAATGGAAAGTGTCTAAATGTGATGCACTATAAAAATTCTAGTTGGCAGTGAGCAGCCGTTTGGGTACAGAATGCCTACAAAATAAAACCAAATGAAAACAATATACATGTACGTTAGAATTCTTGGCTATTACTGTAATAGCATACAGTAGTTCTTTCAGATAAAGATTCATGCAGCAGCTGTGGGATTGCCCCAGAGTGTGCAGTCCTTATACCTGCAGGGGCCTCCAGGGCTGTAGCTGTTGGACTTCAGAGTGGACACCTGCATATCATTAGTCAGAACAAAGAACCAAGGGGTACTGTCAAAAGTGCCTTTAATTAAAGAGTGTATACACAATCTTTCCCTCACTCTTCTTTTTTTTTCTTTCATCTCCTGCTTCCTTTGCTCTGCCTTAAAGGCTATTTTACACTCTGGCCCTCCAAGGACCCTTCTACTTCCTCACCTACATGATCCATAATGCTCTCTTTCCTTTGCCAGTATCATCCAGGAGGTTTCCTGGTGACAAGTATGCAGGAACCTATGAATATTTGCCTAAGTTTTGTAAAGTCTGGTTTAGCAAAATCCCCATGAGGTGCCATTAGGAGAATCTCAGGCAAACATTCTGTCTTGTGGGATTTTGCAGAGACGCGGATGATATCCTGCCCTTGCCTGGTTCAGAAACAAACATGTTAATTTTAGTTTTGAATTTCAAACCATCTCTCTCTTCTCAGTTGCTCACATACTATCTCCCTTGACTGAAGTGATCCTTAACAGCTCTTCAGTCACACTAGAGAGGGACCCAAGCTGCAAGGTTCAAATCTGAATGCAGAGCCAAACTTTTCTGAATGTCAGGAGTATCTGGATCCAGGGGGTTGTTTTGTCCTGTTATGGAGGCTGGGTTCATGCACAAAACTCAGATACAAATCTGAATTTTTCCCAAGTGTGGTAGATTCATATGCAGGGGTTTTGGCTTGTCTTTAGTTTATATTTCTTGACCTGTTTCCCTTTACAATTGTTCTGGTTTGTATACCTCTCTGCCTTCACCCTTTCTACCTTGTTTTGGGAAAGCTCAGCCCTCGCTCTTTCCTGGTCAAACAGAAGCATCCGTAGCAATATCCAGCGTCACCACTTAGCAAAGCTACCTTTGAATACTGCTCTTTTTTTCTCCTATTGTATCTGAGGACACCCATTCCAGCCCTTTAAGAGCTTGCACAGCATCTCATTCCTCTGCTGAAGTGACCTTGTGAATCTGCCTGCATCAGGCCCCTGCCCCAGTCAGTCACTCTCTTTGTTCTGCCATTCCCTGTTACCAAATTTTGGGATTGTGGGAATGAGTCCTCTTCAGTACTGCTTTGATGATTTCCCTAACAACAGGCCCAATTCTTTGCATTATAGTCTCTAGAGATTTTGACCTAGATCTGAACTTCCCTAAGGTTTTGCTCTGTTCAGTTCTAAGAATTTGGCTGAGGCCACTCTAAAAATGGAGGCCAACTGCAAAGTTTGGATACTGGTTCAAACTTCCCCAAATCTGGGAGCTGAGTCTAGGACTATGTTTGGAGTAGTTCTAGAGAAGGGGCCAGCTGCCAGGTGCAGATCTGAATCTGAACTTTCCCAAATTTGGCAAATGTTTCTGATCAGGGGGCTTGATTTCAATCCTAATAACTTCTTTCCAAACCCTTGGAGAGTTGCCCTTTCCTAAAAGACATACTGAGTCCAAAGAAACACCCTCCTTAAAAAACAAACACCTGCAAAAGGAAACACATAAGGACTGAAGGAGCTTTACCAGTACGTTTTGTTTCTCAATCAACCCCACATAGGAAAGCCTGGCTTGTGCTCTCTCTCAGCATTTGCTATATGTATTTCTTTCCCTTTTCTCTAGACTGGGAGCACTTTCTGCCAAACACAGAAGGGCTTTGTGAGGAGGGGAACAGCTCAAACTCTTACAGCTAGTAAAATTCGCACTGCCTCCCTCTCAGACCTGGACGCTAACCGCCTCTGGTGTTTCACTCTCGCCACAAAAATAGTTCTTTCTAGTAAGATCCTGCAGCTCTTCTCTCATCCTGTCTCCTTCACAATAAGGAGCTAATAAGCCCTTTCATTAGCAGAGTGTTGAGACGAACCTGCAATCAGCTTCTCTCCAAAGGGGGCTGAAAATTTCAGCAAAGAGGTTTCAAAACAGTATCAAAACAGAGGAGTAAATGACAGGAATTGATACTGCCTCCCTCTACCCTCCCACTTCCCTCTTGTTAATTCCCCAAAATGGACTCACTTGAAGGTTGATGATTTCCCCTTCTGATGCCATCCTTTTGCCCTTAGGTCTCTTCCTCAGCCTTCTGCAGACTGCACAGTAGCTTGGGACTCTGCAGTCCCAGGGACTCTATAATGCTTTCTCTGGGTAAGAGAGCACAGCTGCTGAAACAGACCTGCTATTCATCTCCCTGATGTGAGACGCCCGTCTTGGCACAAACGTGTGGGGGAAGAAGGGGATGGCATACAAATTCTTTGTCTTCAAAATGCTGAATGGTCCATGGAATAAACATCCCTCTTAGATTTGCTATGACACTTTTGTTCACTATGTATCTCCACTAACTCCCTTGGTCCAGCTGAACCCTGTGAGATCACTCAGGCTGGAATTCTGTGATGCAGCTAGCGTACCATGAGGGTCATGGCACAGACTGTACAGAGCATTTAGCAACAATCCTGAACCCTCTCTGTAGCCACAGAGCCCCTCTGTTCATATCAGGGCTACCGCATGAAGATGGTTTGAAAACTAGTGGCTGAGAAGGTTCGGGCCAGAAAGTCATGTTCCTTCACTGCAGAACAGGATTACAGCAAAGCTCTAGAGAAGGCTGAGATGGAATTTCCATTCTAAACCCATTCTCAGTTACTTCTCACTTTCTCAACCAAGAAAACATCATTTAGGTCTGGAATTTCTATTCCTGGTATCAGCCCCAAATGAGGTTTTCTTTTGATTGGTAAGTGAGAAGTGACCAACAATTTATTTAGAATGGAAATGTACACAGTCAAAATCAAGTGACAAAGCATGAACATAATACAAGTGGGATCCTCAGCCGCTGAAAATCAGGATAGCCCCATTGATTTCAGATTTACATCAACCAAGATTCAGGTGGAAAGGTTTTGTCCTCTGAAGGACAACTTCACTGATCAGTTACAATGGCACAGAAAGTTATATTTTTACTAAAGAAGATTATCTTGTTAAGAAGCATGCTATGTGGTATGTATGTAGTTAACCAATGTTCATCACAGTTTCTGTATCTCCAGGTCTATGAAAGGTGCTGAAGTCTCTCTCAGTGGGAACTGCCATTGTACTGATACTTCTCAACAGAAGGCCTAGTTTGACAATGATACTAACGCTTAGCAGTTCTGTGGCACCATTTCAAAGCATTAATGAATTTAGCCTCACAATATCCCTGTGAAGTACAGACGCTCCCCGACTTACGCAATCGTTCCGTTCCGGAACGCCTTGCATAACTCGAATTTTGCATAAGTCGGAAACATATCTCCAACCATTACGCAAAACAACAACAACAACTCCTATTTCTAGCTTATGGAACTTTTTCTGTAAACTCGTATTTGTGTACGTTGGGTTTATGTAACTTGGGGAGCATCTGTAGAGATAATATCCCCATTTTAGAGATGGATAAACTGAGGCACAGAGGTATATGTTAGTGACATGCTTAAGGTCACACGGGAAATCTGTACCAGAGTCAGGACTAGAACCCAGATCATCTTACTCTCAGTCCTGTGGCTTATCTATATGAACAACTTTCCTCCCATCATGTACTTTGGGAGCCAGGCAATGTAGTTTTTGTGTGAAAGCATGAAAAAGACAAGCAGCTGTCAAAGTTATTGTAATGTAAATAAAAAATATATGGAGATATACCTATCTCATAGAGCTGGAAGGGACCCGGAAAGGTCATCAAGTCCAGCCCCCTGCCTTCACTAGCAGGACCAAGTCCTGATTTTGCCCCAGATTCCTAAGTGGCCCCCTCAGGAACTGAACTCACAACCCTGAGTTTAGCAGGCGAATGCTCAAACCACTGAGCTATCCCTCAGTAAAATACATTTTTGGTTCTCTTAATAAGTGACTACTGTTTACATCAGTTTACATAAGAGACTTATCTAACAACTATTTTGAAAGTGACCTGTCCATCGCATGCAATCATGCACAATTCATGAGCCTTATTAGCATGGAAATCAGTGACTGTTTCTTTTATCCTGTGAGACACAGGTTGGGGGTCATAATACAGGCTTCTGAGTCCTAATCTACATCAGACTGTCATGACAGCAGCTTCCCATTTGATTTTTTTTAATTCTACGTAAGAAGTTTTGAAAACAAAATGCAGTGATTTGCTCTTCTTGTTATTTAGAGGGAGGGATTGAAATCTCTTTCTATATTGCCTACCAGTTTCCCTATAAGCATACTATTGCAGAGGCACTAATACAAAGAATTACCTGTTCTAAATTATTTTCCTTAAAGATGTCTATAATAAGATGCCACAGCTCAGATTATATATAGATGCAGTCTGTTAATGAATAATTTATATGATTCTGGCATCCACCACATCTTTCAAACTTACTCCTGAGAGGAGTTCATGCTAAGCTTGTTCTTTGTGAATAGGGTTTATGAGGAAAGACCCAGGAGTTCTTGCCAAAGTTTTGCTGTCCTTAGGTATCTTACCTATATCGTGGTAGGCCCAAAATATCATTCTGTGGTAAGAAGTGGATGAAGTGTCCAGCTATTATTTTAGAAGACAACCGAAGACTAGTATCAAGCTAATTTCAGACAAGACCACAAGATATATAACAGTGTGTCTTTTAAACCAGTTTCTCTCCAGCACTTATCTAAGGGTACGTCTATACCCAGCCGCTAGTTCGGCGGCTGGCAATCGAAGTTCTGGGTTCGACTTATCGCGTCTTGTCTGGACGCGATAAGTCGAACCCGGAAGTGCTCGCCGTCGACCGCGGTACTCCAGCTAGACGAGAGGAGTACCGCGGAGTCGACGGGGGAGCCTGCCTGCCGCGTGTGGACCGAGGTAAGATCGAACTAAGGTACTTCAAACTTCAGCTACGTTATTCACGTAGCTGAAGTTGCGTACCTTAGTTCGATTTGGGGGTTAGTGTAGACCAAGCCTTAGTGTTATGCTGAAACTTTTGCTTTGCTCTCCAGGGAAATGTCCCAAAGAATAATACTCTTAAACTGTGTTTTCAGAATATCCAGAGAAATTAAGCAAGACCTACAGTAACTCCTGTGTCCTTCCAGACAAGCAAAGCTAAATCAAACCAGGTTCCCTATCCCAAGATAGCATGAAAGAGTCTTTCTGCAGGAGCATATTAGTAATAATGACTCTATGCAGCTTCTCTGAGGGCATCTGGAGCCAAACGTATTAAACTGATACAACTTCAAACAGCAAAATCTCTCTTGGAGATTATTTTTGTATGTCATATGTGACAGACCCAGACCAGTGGGGTACAGGAGTCTGATAGAGGGCAAATATACTGGTCACTAGATGAGTAGTTTTCTGTTCCCTGAGTGACCAGAGAAGGGGCTGCACTAGAGTAATCAGGAACCTGCTAGAACCAGTTAAGGCAGGCAGGCTAATTAGAACACCTGGAGCCAATTAAGAAGAAGCTGCTAGAATCAATTAAGGCAGGCTAATCAGGGCACCTGGGTTTTAAAAGGAGCTCACTTCAGTTTTGTAGTGTGAGAAGCTGGGAGCAAGAGGTGCAAGGAGCTGAGAGTGAGAGGGTGTGCTGCTGAAGGACTGAGGAGCACAAGCGTTATCAGACACCAGGAGGAAGGTCCTGTGGTGAGAATAAGGAAGGTGTTTGGAGGAGGCCATGGGGAAGTAGCCCAGGGAGTTGTAGCTGTCATGCAGTTGTTACAGGAGGTACTATAGACAGCTGCAGTCCACAGGGCCCTGGGCTGGAACCCGGAGTAGAGGGTGGGCCCGGGTTCCCCCCAAACCTCCCAATTGACCTGGACTGTGGGTTCTTCCAGAGGGGAAGGTCTCTGGGCTGTTCCCCAACCCACATGGTGAATCTCTGAGGCAAGAAAATCTGCCAATAAGCGCAGGACCCACCAAGATAGAGGAGGAACTTTGTCACACATATTAATAGTAAAGCTATGAGTCTAAACATGTAGGAAAATGGGTCTGTTTTCATTTAACTCTCAGAACTGCCAGTGGAAGATGAAATTCATCAAAGGAAAATCCCAGTGTAACAGAAAAGGTTTTCTGATCACTACTTCTGATTGCAAAGAAGAGGAAATATGGCTTTTTAAAATGCCTTTAATAATTCTTAGAGAGAAGGGTGGGTGAGGTGATATTTTTTTATTGGACCAACTTCTGTTGGTGAAAAAGACAATCTTTTAAGCTCCACGCCTTTTCTTCACAACCAACATGGCTACAACATGGCAAACATTTAATAATTATTAATTATTATACAAGAATCTGCCATCATCTTGGGCTGAAGGTGTAAATTAGGGCACATAAAATACTGCACAGAGTTTGAATGCACCAGAAAGACAAGAGATTTCCAGAGTTGGTGTAACTAATGATGATTGAACAGAGTAGAAGAGAGTAATTCCTATATACACTTGAGAATGCAAAGGGGAGTTTGATGGGAAGAGAGTCTCTAAAGAGAAGAGAGCAGTATGAGGTGACTGTGGAGCTATTTGCCATTTGGGGCCAGATTGTCCCAGCTCTTATGCTAGGGGGTGAGAGGGTACAGGAGCCTCTTCCCTTTGTTCCTGTAACGGGGCGGCCTGGCTCCCAGCTGCCCCTGTAAAGGACGAGCCAGAACAGCTGCCAGAGTGGGCGGAGCCACCGCTGCCTGTCCCCACCCCCCCGGAAGTCAAGGGGTGGGACAGGAAGTATAAAGGCCAAGCCACAGCGCTCAGTAGCTGCCCAGCAGCGGGAGAGGACAGACGCTGGTGCCCGAGCTCCCGCTGGCCTGAGCCTGCCCAGAGCCCGGTACCCTGAGGAGGACTGGCCGAGCCGACCCCGAACCCGGTATCCGGAGGAGCAGCCTGAGCTAACCCCCGCCGAGGGTCCGGAGGAACCGACCGATCTACCCAGCGCTCGGGGCCCGGAGGAGCCCATGGTCTGGGACACGGCAGACGAGACTCAGGATGTGCAGGTACCCATGGAGGAGGAGATGGGAAGTGGCCCGGGGATAGCAGACCCCGAACCTATGTCAGTGTGTTGCGGTCAGGATCCCCACTGACCCCGCGGCAGACGGACTGCTGGGGATGGGGCGCCGGGCTGGAACACAGTGGAGTGGGTGGGCCTGTGTTTCCCCCCCTGCCACTCCACGCCGGGTGGCAGTCTCTCCTCCTCCCTGCCTAG